CCTGGTCTAAGAGGGAGTTCCAGGACAGGCTCCAAAGCTACACAGAGAAATTCTATCTAGAAAAAAACAAAAACAAAATAAATCAATGAAGAAAGTTCCTTCAAATTTGAATGATATTCTGACTTTTGTGGGCTTTTGTTTCCCTTTTGAGAAGCATCTTCAGTAAGTCATTATGCAAGCTCTCCTGAGCACTCCAGCGCCTCCATCCCCTTGTTCTTGATGCTCCAGGTCAACGGCCTCGCTGCCGCCTCTGCCCACAGGTGATTTCTGCAGAGTAACGAAGGTGGAGAGTTCCTAGGTTTGTTAGTAAAGCGCTCTTCACAAAGAAGGTTTGTTTGTCCAATTATCACATCCCAAACAGCAGAAACAAATGCCTATGGCCTTAAACAAATGTCCCAGTTGCTTTACAGATAAGATTGTGGGGTTCATTATTTTAAAAGGAAAACCAAGAAATGAAACCAATAAGTGCGATGAGTAAATAGATGCAATTTAAGCTTTGCCCTTGACCCTTCACCCACGCCTGGCAGTTAACAGTGTACAAGGAAGGCAAGCACTTCCTGAGTAGTGGGTCCTATCTAGGGACAGAGTGAGGTGTCTGACAGTTCTGACTGAGTTTGGGGAGCACGGGGAACCTCTTTCAGCCAATGGCCTTTAAGAGGCTGGACCAGGTCGGGGCGTGACTTTTGGGTTCCCAAAAAGCTGCTGTCTTGCCCAGCTCTGCCTCTCTTCTTTCGGAGTCATCTTGGGATTGTTTGACTCGCGTTTCTCCCCGCTCCCCGCCCTTCTCCCACTTTTACGAGTTCAGCTTCATGAGGATTCATCACATCAGACACACTTTCCTTTTGCCTGCTAGGGCTATCCATCCTTTGGCTTTAAAAAGTCATGACCGCTCCCAGAGGATGGGGGATGATGGGAAAGCTGGAGCTCCAGATGTGTCAACAGCAGGTGCAGCATCCTTTGGAAAAGTGGAAAAGGAGTGAGAGTATCTCCCTCAGGGCTACACTCCAGGTGGTCTGGGAAGGGATGCAGCCAAAAGTGCCTTGTCATTCACCAGGGTGCCAAGCTAACCAGATGCTCTCGGCAGGAGTCGCCCTTGGAAACATGCCCTTTAGCTGCCTTCTAAGTCCTGATAAAAACGCTTGGCTAGCCACTGCTCCAGGTAGCTTGGGATCTTGGCATAGACAAGGCTTTTCTGTAGGTGTAAAAAAATAAAAATAAAAAAAAAAATCTTTTTCCCAGCAATAATGTGAAGGGATTCGATGCACCATTAGGAAGTCTCTGACCAGAACAGCTTGTTTGTTGCTCAGGAAGCTAACATTAGAGACGGGAAACAGACTTTTGCCATTCTAAACCCATGTACTTAATTATCTCCACCCTAAATCAGTTCCAGAAACAGGCACAAATGAAAGTACACGCGTCTGGCCAATGTCAGAGGATGACCAGAAGGTGGGGAATCCCGTGCCTTGCGACCCTCTCTTAGCATTTCCTGCCTTCTCCCACCTCCTGATCGAGGAAGGCAATTCAACCGCCAGAGTACATTATATTTCTGCAGTTCTTTTAAAACAGTGGTCCCTGTAAGGTCTTGCTGGGATTCTGTTTTCTGGGCAATTTTATATATAACCCAGTTAATCCTGATAGCTTTTAAAATATTTAAAACCTCAATGAAAGGCAGAATTTGTAGATCATTGGCCTCTCCAGTGGCTGATAAGATCAGAGCTGGATTCTTACCCATCCCCTTGATGCCTTCACCCCAAGAATATTGAAAATTACCAGGTAAGTAAGAATGGAAATAACAGTAGCAACTACAGCATGCTGGAGCTACATTTTCCACAGGTACAACAGCATAATCAGCTCCCCTGAGAGGCCAGTGCTGCTGAGATGCCTGTATTAGCTTCATTTCACATGCAGTCCAAAGTGCAGCCCCTCCTCAGTTGGTGAACTCTGGCCATCATCGTCACTGAAATGGCTGCATTGGCGCCAGATACTTGTGGACTGAACAAGCATTGTTTGAATTTCTGCTTTGCCTCCTACCTAACCACTGCCTCTCAGGGTCTTTCCTCCTCGAGTCTGTGTTCTCTGCCTTCTTCTCTAGTTCATCATCTGGCAAGAAGGTATGCTGGGGAATCATTTTTATCTTCATGTCTAACTTTGTCATTTGCATTCAGGTTTGGCAGTTGATGTGGGGTCATTATTTTACATCTGTCAATTCACTCTGGGTTCTAAAACATGCCAGTCATTTCTCTACTGGCACCCCTGCAAACCCATGATGCCCGTGGACATTCCTGTCCCTTCTGACTACTTTTGTGCCTGGGTACCCAAAGCCTTGATGCAGCTGTTTGTTTCTCACTCTTCCTCAACCCCTTTACCAGCCGGGCTACCTGTATTTTTAAATTTAGTTTGAGTTTTGTTTTGAAGTGATGAGTAGCATTTTTCAAATTTTATTTACTGATTTCAAATCTGTAAATTACTTAAGGACAAAACATTTCCTGGACCCAGGGGACAGCTTTGGGGCTTTGGGAAGGAACTTGGGGGCCATTTGTGCCTCTGGAGAGTGATAAGGCCGTAAACTTAAAGCCCTGAAAAATTAGAAAAAAAAAATGGTGAACATAACACTTTCGGCAGACAAATGTCTCAAGGAATGCCAGGAGCTGTTTGGAGGTCTTCTTAAAAAAAAAAAAAAAAAACAGCTTCCATCATAAGAAAGCATGAAGTGACTTTGTCCACCACTATCAGCAAACAGAAAGAGACAAATGGTGATACCTCAGCTTGCTCTCCTTTCAATCAATGAGAAACCCCAGTCTATGGAAGGCGCAGTCCATGTTCTGGAAGGATCTTCCTTCTTCATTTAAATGTCTCTGGAGACATAATAAGAAATGCTCTCAAAGACATACCCAGAGGTGTAATGTATCCTAGGTGAACTCACATCCTATGACAGTTAACCAGTGCAATGTCAAACCTTATTTGGGAAGAGTACAGGAAAAGCCAAACTGACCCTACTGATGCCATCCATTTGACTTGATCTGTCACTTTCTCTCCCAAACCTTGGCTCTCTCTCCTACAGGAAAAACATTTCCCTCACTTAAAATTGGTCTCCCGCCGGGTGGTGGTGGTGCACGCCTTTAATCCCAGCACTTGGGAGGCAGAGGCAGGCGGATCTCTGTGAGTTCGAGACCAGCCTGGTCTACAAGAGCTAGTTCCAGGACAGGCTCCAAAACCACAGAGAAACCCTGTCTTAAAAAACCAAAAAAAAAAAAAAAAAAGTAGTCTCCCTAAGGATCATGTCTTAAATACATTACTGTGTATGGATTTCTCAGTATGAAGTGATGAAGACACTCCAAAAGCAGAATGAGAACTATCATACATTGAGGACATACTAAGGCCCAGAAAAAGACCCAGATGTTCTATATTTCATTGTGCCATCTCAGCTATGGCGTACTAAGCCACCATCGAATACCCAGCCACGCCCTGTCACTATGCACTGGGACTCTAGGAGGCTTTAAAGCAAGAGGATCAGAAAGTCGATACTTGCAAGAGCCCCATAAAGGCCTTGGGTCACAAGTCCAGCAGGCGAGGGGAACTCCTTGCCTCCCGTTTCCTGATGCCCTTGCTTCACTTGGATTCCAAATTTGTGGAGATTTCCTCTGTGTGTGTGTTTTTTTTTTTTTTTTTTTTTTTCTGTTTTTGTTTGTGTTTTTGTTTTTGTTTTTTTCTTTTTTTTTTTTTGTTTTTTTCTGTTTTTTTTTGTGTGTGTGTTTGTCTTTTTTTCTCTCTCTCTCTGTGTCTGTGTGTATCTATCCATCTCTCTCCCTTCCTCCCTCTCTCCTCCTCTCCTCCCAGCCTCCCTATCATAAAGATCCCACCTCTCCCCTCCCAGAGCTTCTCGCCTGGATCCTTAGCTCACTCTACTTCCGGTGTCCTTGCCCATGCTGTCACCCCGTGATTTCTCCTACAAGGACCATGGGGCTGTTGTACACCATTGTTCCCAGTGCCAGTGTTTACTCCATGCACATGGTGGCTGATTAGTGAGTGTGTATATGATCCTGGCTTATTAGGACTCTATCTGCAGCAGCATCTGTATCCATGATCTGCTATTTGCAAGTGTTCTTTTTTCTTGTATTTTCTTAACCTCATTTAAATATCCACCCTCCTATGCCTGCCGTTTAAGCATCTGCTCCAGCCTTCTCACTGGGTAGAAGGGGAAATGGCTCTTCTGTGCCTCTTTTCTTCCACCAGCGGAACCTAAAGAGGCAGCGAGGACTAAGCTATGTCCTCCTGTGTCCTTCTGTTGCCTGTTGTCTCTGTTTCCCTGATTGGATTTTTCATCTATCAGGAGGTAAGTCAGGGGCTCTCAAAGGTTATGAAATCAATGGTTTCCATTTCCTTAATGATTTCTTACTGTATAAAGACAATGTCCAGGAACTTGTGGGTCTTACACCATCAGTGTGCAAAGTAACAGTCTCCCCACACAAGATTAAGTCATCTAGTTGTTCTTTATTCTAACATATAGTTTTATAGAGAAATACAAAGAAAATGATAGAGCACATTATCCCTACCTAAATAATTTGATATTTTTTTCACCATGTAAGTTTTTGATATTTTCTCACTGTGTAAGTTATTAAAGCAAGGATTTTATAATTCAAATTATGTTTCCTTGCCCATTTATCAGTTCTGCTGTTAGAACTGACATATTGAGCTATTCAACAATAAAGAATTACAAAATTAAATGCTTCAAATGATTCTACTTTGCTGAAAATGCTTTTCCTGGGGTCCACAAAACATGGGTTTGTAGATTTTACTATTTCTGGGGGATGGTGGTGCAGATTTTAAATCAGTCTACTCAGAACACTAGACCTGATATTTGCTCAGTACATAAAGTTCAAAGTTGCCTTTTCTTTTTTTATTTATTTTATATTTTACCATTTTTTTAAATAATTTTTTTCAGTGTTTAAGTATTTTTCGTCTGTGACGTGTGAATTTCTTTTTCGAGGTCTCCGATCAGCTTAAATAGACGAGACACCAGAGACACTGCTAACAGCTTTCTGTACAGCCTCTTTAGCTTGGTGGGCTTGGAGTAAGGCTACAGCTTCATCATCGTTAGAGCGCAGAGATTCTGGAGACTTCAGCATCTGAAGGGGTTCTGAGTTATCCATCTCCAGTAACATGCCCGTGATCTTACCAGCAAGACTCGGGGGCACGGCTTGAATGAATGGAAATAGCCTTTCACCCAGCATTTGCTTTTGCTCTTGAGGAGCGGTGACCAACATGGAAGCAGTCCAAGGTTCCTGAGCCTGTGCCCTAACAGCAGGCTGCTGCACCAGCTGTGCGGTTAGATGTTGCTGGGGGTTGCGGACTCCCGCGGCAAATTTATACTTTGGAACCGAGCGAGCAGAAGTAGTTGCTGCAGAAACTGCAGCTGCTGCAGCTGCAGGATGTTGACCCACTGTCTGTGCTGATGTGTTAGTTACGCGATGTGCGGACGCTGCTTGAGGAACATGGGAAGGACCTGGTCTTACAGTACTAAGTGATGATCTAGGAGCGGCTGGGTGGATAACAGCAGGCACATTTAGAAATGGATGAGGCCTGGCACCCGGAGCAGTCCAGCGAGCACTTGGCCTTGGTTGAGTCATCTGGCTAGGGCAGCATGGCACACAGTTCTGAGTCTGTGGGAGAGTGGCCATGGAGTAACCTGAAGGCGCGGGTTGGTAGGGGTTCATCACAGCTCTCACACCTGCCATTCTCTGCATATACTGGTTAGTGAGGTGAGCTTGACGCTCTTCTTTGCGCTGGGCTAAAGCTACATACAGTGGCTTCGTGGCCACAATTCGACCATTCATTTCCGAAACTGCTTTGCTGGCTTCTTCGGGGGAGGAGAAACAGACAAAACCGAACCCTTTACTGCGACCCCCCTCCATCATAACCTTTGTACTGGTGATCGTTCCAAACGGAGAAAATTCTTTCTGTAGACGCTCGTCATCTATGCCATCGTCAAGATTTTTCACGTAAAGGTTAATACCTTGGTATCTGATGTTCCTGTCTTGGGTCACTTGCTCAAATTTGCGCTTAAGCTCTGTGTGCCGGTCCACTTTTTTCTGAGCTCGACCAACATAAATGTGTTTGCCATTGAGTTCCTTTCCATTCATCTCCTCCACCGCTTTCTGCGCATCTTCATGCTTTTCAAAGCTGACAAACCCGAATCCTTTGGATTTTCCACCTTCATCGGTCATGACTTTCACACTTAAGACCTGTCCAAACCTGCCAAAGAGGTCACTCAGGGTCTCATCATCCATGTGGTCCCCAAAGTTCTTGATGTAAACATTGGTGAACTCCTTGGCCCTTGCTCCAAGCTCCGCTTCCCGTTCTTTTCGAGACTTAAACCGTCCAACAAACACTTTACGGTCATTCAGAAGCATCCCGTTCATTTTCTCAATGGCTCTTTCTGCTGCCTCCTCTGTTTCAAAATGAACAAATCCATGCCCCTTGGAGCCATTCTCATCGCAAACCACCTTGCAGGAAAGGATGTTCCCGAAAGCAGAAAATGTATCATATAGCACTTTGTTATCAATGGTTTTGTTCAAATTTTTAATGAACACGTTGCCTACTCCACTTCTGCGTAGTGACGGATCACGCTGAGACCACATGATGCGGACCGGCTTGCCCTTGATGACATCAAAATTCATGGTGTCCAAAGCGTGCTCTGCGTCCGCAGGCTGCTCGAAGTTCACGGAAGCATAGCCTAGGGAGCGACGGGTGATTACGTCCCTGTACACCCGGATGGAAAGGATGGGCCCGGCCGAGCTGAATTTCTCATAGAGCATCGCCTCGGTCACATCCGGGTGCAGGTCCCCTACGTAGAGCGAAGCCATGGGGCAGCCTGGGGTGCTGGGGTTCATCTGGGCACCGCTGCCCATGGGGCAGCAGGCTGCCACCTTCTTGTGAGAGTAGCAGGGCCAGCGCTGGGCTGGGGCAGAGGCAGGGACGGAGCGGGCAAGCACAGAGGGTCAAAAACCAAAGGGATGGAAACCTCCCCAACGGCCACAGAGCCCAGGGAACCTCAGAGCCAGCGCATGCGCAGTGCCTGGTGCGTGCTGCCCTGGGAGCGAGGCTGCCGGAGAGCTGGGTAGGTAAGTGTAGACCTGCTGGGCCTCATCTGGTCCCTGCTAGGAGTGGGTGGACAGGAGGGTCTCAAATATCTCACTTCGTTATTTTATAAAAGAAAAAAAAATTAAAAGTTAATCGAGGGGGAGATGCTGTTTTTTTTAAGGCTTTGCAGAATCAAGAATTTTTTTTTCCTTTTATGTCGTGGGACTTATTTTTTTAAAGAGAGGTTCCCAATTTGTAATCCAGGGTGTCCTGAAACTCACTATATATAATAGATCGTCCTTGATCTCGTGGTGATCTGCCTGCCTTAGCCTATAAGACTTGGGGATACTTTTAAATAATACTTGTGTGTTCCAAGGACACAAGGCACTCTATACTCTCAATGCTAAGCATCAGCTAGAAGACACTTCAGGTATTTTTAAAATAAAATGTTTACTGGATCATGTTTCCACGCTTGTGTTTTCCTAGCATGTTTTTAGAACTCGGTGTTATATATACAAGAGCATCCTTCGTCAAGAGACATTGCAATTCATTTAGACTGTTGCTAGCAAGGACAGCATAGAGAATGAGAAGACAGACCCCTTGAGTCTGTAGAGCACACTGGTAGATGTCCTGTGGACCAGTTCTGCTCTCCCAAAAAGATAACAATCACCACCAACCCTTGCCAATAATGGCTCTTTCTTTCTCGCAGAAACAAATCATTTAATATCCAGAAGCAGTCCAGATCCATAAGTTAGAAGCCCGTGTGATAACAGGTGAAAGCCCCTGTCAGTACAATTCTAAAGCCTGAGTTCAACCCCCAGAACCTGTGGTGGAACGAGACACCAACTCCCCAAAGTTGTCTGCTAATCCCGCACACACATGAATGATTAAAAAAAAGCTTTAGAGGGAGGGGGGAGGACCTTGGACTTTCCACAGGGCAGGGAACCATGACTGCTCTTTGGATAGGAGAGGGAGGGGGAGAGGAG